CTCATGGTACTTTCTGGTCAAAGCAACTGAGTTGCTTCAGCAGGTGATAAATCACTTTGGAAACTTAGTGCAACATTTGCTGCAGTTCTCTTTCCATAGCATATCAACCTCTTAAACCTTTCCTACAAATCAATATTAACAGCTGTAGAAGTTGCAGACGTATTGGGAAGGCATTACCCACTGATGGATTTGTATTTGTTTTTGCCCTAGGAAATGCTTATAAGGTCTTTAAAAATGACAAACTATTTCTTTTTCCAATTGAAATTGCTCTATATCAGTAAATTATGTATTACTTTTTTGGAGTGCTGTAGACTTCAAGACAATGATGTGTTTTACACATGAAATGAGATTTCCTAGGAAGTTCATGAAATATTTCTTAGAAGAAATGTTTGGTGCAGACCCATTGTTGGCCTAAAATACATTGTAATCTTTGCAAAGTGTTAGAGATTCTTGGAGTAGCTTACCTTCCTCCAAACTGTGTTGGACTCATACAGAATCTGGATTTAAGGACAGATCCTACTCCCATAAATGTCACTGAAACCTTGTCCTCTTATCCTTTAACTTCATCCTTGGAGAAATGACGTTGACACTGGCTGGTACAGAGGAAGGATATGAAATTTGCCTGCTTAGTATATGTGCTTGGCTGCATCTGTTCAGTGTCCTCTTCAGAGGGATCCTGCTGTCACCAAAGTGGTTATGGAATCAGTTACAGCAGGTGATTTCAGTGGGCAGGATTATAGTGGTGGTTCAGGCTAAATCAATTGGGGTTGTGAGAATGATGAGCAGGTGCTGCAGAAGTAGAATCAAGTCTTCCCCTTTCCAAAACATTCCTGTTGTGATTCTTCTTGTTACTTAGAAATTAGCAAGGATGCAATAAAGAATTAGGGATTTTTTTTTTAAGAACTCTTAGGTGTGTCTTCAGGTATCTATGGAGGCGTGTTGCTTTGGGGGTACCTGCTGGGATTTTGTCTCCATTTCATCTTGAAGTGTGTGACAGGGCTTACCTGACAGCCTTAACTTGCGCTTAACTCTCCTGTAGAGGACTCAGCCCAGAAGCTATTCTGGCAGCACTGTCCTCTGAGCAGCACTGTCTCATCTGTTTGATGTGCTCCCTTTTATATGAAGACCAGATGAAATAAAGACTCCTTACCTCTGAGTTGGTTTTCAGTAAAAGGAGGAAATTAGGCACTAAATTTATTGAAACCTGACACCAAAATGCTGCTTATGCTTAGCGCTACCATGTGACGTTTCAGCTTGTTTGTGGTGGCCTCCAGCCCTCCTATTTACCTGGGGATTGGACTGCAGCCTTGTTTACATTGCCTGACCAGCTCTGTGCATGTACTTGTCCTTGTCACGTGTAGTGTAAAGGTCAGCCTTTTGGGGAATGAGGACAGACTTACAATCACAAAAGATGCTGGACACCCAAATGCCAACTCCTGTGTACAAAAGTACCAGCATCTTCGAAGGACATAAGTCAATCTCTGCTTCATAAAACTTGAGTCCTAGTAGATGCATCAATGTGGCAGTTTGCTGTTTGTTTGTAAATCTGGGAACCCTCCTGTTGAGGAATTGGTGAGTTTTGTCATGCTCTGAGCTTCTGAGTGCTGGTGCAAATGGGTGGCATATCATGCCTTGATACTAGAGGTGGCTCAAGTTGCAGCTTGGTTGGTTGCTGCCTTCTGAATGCCTCCCAATCCCACAAAGTCATTGAAAACTGCTGGTATTAAGAACCTTGTGGTGGGTTGACCCTGGTTGGATGCCAGGTGCCCACCAAAGCTGCTCTATCACTCCACCTCCTCAACTGGACAAGAGAGAAAAAATGTAACAAAAGGCGAGAGAAGGACAGGGAGAGATCACTCAGCAATTACCATCACAGGCAAAACAGAATTGACTTGGAGGAAATTAGTTTAATTTATTATAAATCAAATCAGGGTAGGGTAATGAGAAATAAAACGAAATCTTAAAACACCGTCCTCCCACCCCTCCTTCCTTCCCAGGCTCAACTTCACTCCTGATTTTTTTTCTCCCTCCTCCCCCCTGAGCTGTGCAGGGGGACGGGGAATGGGGGTTTTGGTCAGTTCATCACACACAGTCTCTGCCGCTCCTTCCTCTTCAGGGGAGGACTCCTCACACTCTTCCTCTGCTCCAGCGAGAGTCCCTCCCACGGGGTGCAGTCCCTCAGGAGCAGACTCTGCAGGGTCACCAGCCCTGACAGCAAACCTGCCCCAGCCTGGGCTCCTCTCCCCACTGGGCCACAGGCCATGCCAGGAGCCTGCTCCAGCACGGGATTCCCATGGGGTCACAGCCTCCTTCGGGCACCCCCTGCTCCGGTGTGGGGTCCTCCCTGGGCTGCAGGTGGAGATCTGCTTCCCCCTGGGCCTCCCTGGGCTGCAGGGGCACAGCCTGCCCCACCATGGGCTGCCCCAGGGGCTGAGGGGAATCTCTGCTCCGGCGCCTGGAGCTCCTCCTGCCCCTCCTGCTGCACTGGCCTGGGGGGCTGTAGGGCTGCTTCTCTCACATACCCTCACTCCTCTCTGGCTGTAGTTGTGCAGGTTTTTTTTTCCCTTCTTCTTTACTATGCTATCCCAGAGGTGCTACCACTGCTGCTGATGGGTTCAGCCTTGGCCAGCAGCAGGTCCATCTTGGAGCCATCTGGCATTGGCTCTATCAGACATAGGGCAAGCTTCTGGCAGCATCTCACAGAAGCCACCCCTGTAGCCCCCCTGCTACCAAAACCTTGCCACACAAACCTTAAAGCAGGTGTAGTAGTTCTGGAGGGAACTGTTTACTCTTTGCAAAGAGGTAATATGATGAGAGGGATCTTACATAGCCTTGCTTGGCTTTAACAGAAGATGCAGGACATTTCCAGATTTGTCTGCCGTTATCAGTATTGGTTTGAAATTACTCATTATCTCATTGCCATTGCAAGGTAATGAATACCATTGTAGCTCACCAAAGAAAAAATAATCTAGGCAAAATAATTTTGTGAGGAGAGAATAAAAATTGATACTCAGACATCTGCTTTGGGAAAGGAACTTGCTGTTACTCCCATCCATGAACAAGTGGAATGTACTCTGTCAAGGCAGTAACTCAATTAGCAGCCTGAGGGTGTTTTACTAAAAGGAAAAGATCAAGAAAAGCATATCTTCCCCCGTGTCCTGAGAACCTAGGTCTTTCTTTAATTCATTCACTGCAGTTTGTTCTGCAGTCTGATAGTCTCTTAGAGTCTGAGGAATTCTTGTCTTTTGTATTTTAGGACTCCAGCGTCGTAGACTGATTCCTGCTCCGTTGCCAGATGCTGCTTCCCTAGGAAGAAAACCCAGTGTCACTGGCCAATGGGTTGATCTACCACCTTTGCCAGGCACTTTAAAAGAGCCATTTGAAATTAAAGTTTATGAGATAGATGATGTGGAACGATTACAGCGACACAGACAAGAGGAAACTGAGGTCAGCACATATTTTACAGCAACTGTAGACAACTTACAGTATACAGGCAGAATCCTTGCTTGAATGCTGGAATGGTGTTCAGGAAATTGATTGCAATTAAAGCACTATAATTATTAATTTTACAATTCATATGTTGGGGTACCCTTAACACAGAAAATGAAAATGACTACTGTCTAAAATTAATTGTGTCTAACATGAATGATAGTGTAAATGGAAGTTACCAATGAATACATTATGAGAAGACTTTATAATCCTAGCCTGGCTGATGAAACCTTACAGCCTTCCTCAACTATAGGGTCATTAACTCTTGATGTAAATGACAGGATTCTATTAAATCAGAGATGCACTGGGTTTAATTTACTTTTAATTGGAAAACACTTCAGCTAATTCTATTTTGGAGACCAGAATTCTATGTTCTTCTGATGCATTTTCCCATTTCTTTCATAATAGCCTTTCCCGGATGTTGAGAAGGTAGGAATGCTTTTAAGAAAATAAGAATTCATATGTTTTGGGAGTAAATATAACTCTCACATTATTATTAGGCTGTGTTTATCATTTGCACTGCTGGAAAAAAAATGCCTCTACAAACAGTAGTAATTTCAGAATGTATTAGAGACGTTTGCTAATTCAGAAAAGTGCAACAAGTGCTTGAGTGTTGTAGCATGCTGTTCCTCTAGATTAGAATCCATTAATGTAAACTGCAAATAAAAAAACCCAAAAACCAAACTCCCAAACTACTAGCCCCACAACCAAACAAAACAACCCACCTGCTAATTCTTAGACGTAATGAGCGTAATTTGTGTCAAACTGTTGGAGGTCAGCTTATAGCAGGCAAATTCATGAAATGACCTTTCTGTGTCTTAAAAGGGTCTGATGTATTTCCACACCAAGCTGAAGATACTAGAAAGGCGCCAGCAGCGAATCAGAGAAGTAAAGGCAAAGCATGAACTTTTGAAGGAAGAGTTGGAAGAGACAAAGTGCAGGTTGATGATGGATCCAAATAAGTGGAGAGAAGACTGTAAGTACTTTGCAAAACCAGCAGTATGATCAGCATGTAACAAATTTTCAGCATGTGGGCAGTCCACTGAAAAAGTTAAGCACTTGCTAAGCTATTTTACTGAACTGAGCCCTAACGTACTCTGTGACTCCATTCTATTTCTGTGATATGGGATTTGTTCAGTGCTGAGTAGTGCTGGAAATGAACAAAAAAGCCCCTCCAAACTAACCAGAAGAGAATGCCAAAACAATGCAGAGACTCACTGTGATGCTTCTTAGTATTAAATATTTGTGTAGCCTTTTCCTTCTTTCCCAAGGAGGAAAAAAATGTTTCCCTATCCATGTTATAGCTGGGAAACTGAGGCATGAGATTTGTTCACAGGCTGAGTGCTGTGCTTAACTGGAGCCTCAAGGTAGAGTTTTGCATCTGCTGAACAAAATGAAAAAAAATTACTCAGTTCAAGAGTACTCTGTGTTATTGGCTCCCTTGTAATAGAATAATGTGTTGCTCTGAGCTGTTTCTCTTACTCACTAACTTTTTGTCTGACAGTTGAAGTGGATCCTGATCTCGATAAGGAGTCACAGGAGTACCTGGAGGCACTGGAACAAGTGACAGAGGAACTGGAGCAGTGTGTTAATCTGTGCAAGTCACATATCATGATAGTGACGTGTTTTGATATTGGAATAACAGATGCGCAAGATGGAGCAAGGGAAGTGGAGGTTTGAAGAGAGGTTTTTCAAGGGACTGAAGGAAGTGAAGCTGGATCGTCCGACACGAAGAAGTGAAGAGATTAAGTAGCTGGGAAGCGAAGGAGGAAAGGTGAAGCCTAAAAAGCAACAATGAATGTTGTAAGAGAAAGGAACAGCTGAGGGATGGGAATGTTCATAAATCATTTGGTGCCTCAACGTGACCTGAACTGTACAAAGATAAAAGTAGGATCAAGTATTGCTTCTACCAGAGGGAAGCGAAGAAATTTAGTACAAACCAAGATGTTAATTAACAAACAAACAAACGTACAATGGAAGTGCCTTTAAAGTTAATTTGATTTTCATTTTTGTATTTGGTGCTAGAATTAAAGCCAGCAAACCTAAGCAGACCACAAAATGTATTCCTACGAAATATTTTATACTGTATAGTGTATTTATGACTATATGTAAAAAACAAACAACATTGTAGCAAAAGCAATAAGTAAATTATGTTTTCATACCTGAACTTGCCTTCTTGTTTCATAGAAAAGCTGTTTTATGTAGCAGAATTAAAATTGTATTATAATTGTTTTCTCGGTTAGGGTTCAAGATATTTTTATGAACATTTATCTATTGAAAAGGTGTATTATGGCATTTTGAGATGATTGTTTTACCTTCAGGTTTTGTATTATTACTTTTTCAGATCAAAATAAATGTTTGTTTTCCATTTTATATATACATATATAGATATATATTAACTGCTTACCTACTTCCGTGGTTACTAACCTCACTTATCATAGACCTGGTCTTTTTGGAGTCGTAAATGTGAGGAAGTCTACAAAGGGCACTGTGGTTTGTTTTGGTTTTCTTTTTTCCTCTCTGACTGCAGGAATTGAGAATTATGTTTGTTACCAAAACCATAAAACAAACAAAAAAAAAGGAACAAAAAGTTTTTGTAAATGTTAAGTTAGGTCCATATTTTTATATAGTTTTGACTATAAATATAGCATTTGCATTTTGAACTTTTAAGACAAATAGTATATCTTTTTACAGTTTTTCTAAGGAAGGCAAACCCTCAGGATCAAGTTTATACATGCTGCATGAGATTTGTGCTTTTTTGAAGGAGGCCACTTAAGTGTGGGAACTATTGATAAATTGTTGCCAAACAAATACTTTTGAAAAGGTTTAATAGTGTATGTAATACCACATTTCACAATGAATCATATTTTCTAATCATCTTCCTTTTTATGGTTTTTTCAAATCCTTTGTACAAATATGTATTATAACAGCTTGCTTCAGTTTTTATCTGTGAATAAAAGATACATCTATTGTTATGATTGCTTCTTGCTATGTATGTGATTTTAATGTTCGGAAGAGAGGATGGCTTGTGGTACCCTGTGTTAAATGTCATATTGTATTATCTCTTTGCCCAAGACAGGTAACTGGGAACAGAGTTTCGACATTTTGTCACCCTCGACCCGTTGGGAGAGACAAAACACCAAAGGGTAAAATAAATAGCAATGATAATGCTTAGCACTTTATAGTTTACAGAACAAAGACCTGCGGCTCACATGCGTGCTTTCCCTGATGAGACAAAGCAATTCAAAATGGGTCTAAACCCACAAGAAATCTTTAGGAACTGGAATCGAGCCCTGGGCCCCGTAGGTCCATCATCGCAAACGACCACGTTCATTTCTCTCTGACGCTGCTGCATTGGCTCTCTGGTTACAGCTGTGCCTGGTCCTTGCCTCCCACTGATGCTGGCTGGAGTAACTCCAGGCAGATTTAATGTAAAGCTGGTGCTTCTAAGGACACCATCTCGAGTATTTTCCAGATACTTGGCCAAATGGCCTGTGATGTGTGAATTTTTCCTCTCCCTCTTTCTCTGTCCTTATGTAGCCCTAACAGCATGGCATCCAAGCAGCGAGTTCTCTTACCCTCGCAAGAGGCCTGTGAGAGGGAGGAAATGCTTTCCTCCTCATTCTGCAGCTGGACAAGTGGAAGAGTGAGAGTGAGAGTTTGATGCTTAAGTATCTCTGTGACTTTGCATAGGTTACATTGGATGCCCTGCTCTTACCTACCTCTCTCTGGTTTATCCTTGGAAAAGCGTGCACCATGTTTGCTTACTGACATTTAGCACTGTGTTGGGGTTGTATGCAGGGGAATGTGGCATCTAGAATTTCTGGAGGATCCCATTGCTGATATCCTTAAATACCAGATACATTTATTAAGTTGTAAATTCCTGCTATATTTACCTTCTGCATGTGTGCAGAAAGTCAGTTCTTCCAAAGATGGAATCAAAACCATGGAGTGATTCAACACATTGTGGGTTTTTTTCAGAGGAAGGGTCAGACAAATACAGTCAAAATAAAGAAGGCAGCAGTGTGCAGAGGGACAAGTATGTGTTTACAAAGGGGAAAACCTCCAAATGAGTGGGACGAAGGAGAATACGTTAATGGGCAGCTGGCCACTGGGGTGTTAGGTTTTGCGCTGGTGCCATACGCTGTCCTCTGGAGATGCCCATGGGCATGGTGCTGCAGCAAGGTGGGCTGACCTGGGCACAGCGGGGTTGGGCTCACAGTCTTTTCAGGGTGGCCTGTAACTCCCTCTTGAATGGATACAAGAGGTTTTGTTTTCTTTTATTTGCCAGCCACTTCATCTTCTCCTCAGAGGTCTTTGTTGTTTCTCCCCTACCCTGGCAATATTATAATTGTCCGAAATAAAAATCAAGCCACTAGTCATCCAGCCCAATTTTTATAAATCTGGCAATTTTTTTTTTTTAAATATTCTGCATTTGCTGATCAGTTCTGCATCTTTTGTTACTTTCTCCTTTATTTCTAACTATGGTTATGTTTTTCGCAAAGTACCAAAAGAGACATTTCAGGGCTGCTTAGTTCCATGTCAACATGGCAATAGCATGCATATGAAATTCATTTAGCCTCTGGCTTGGTGACACAAAACAAGCCTGAGATGCAAAATAAGGTGAGGCGCTAATGGATGAAATAGCAGACTTCTCCCTATGCAAATTCTGTTCTTCATTGGTAGTCGTAGATAATAAATATCTCAAGGTCTGTAATATTCCTTTCTTTTTGGTTATTTTTGCAATTCTCTCCAGTTAAAATTCATAGAAATATATGCTTAGTTTATGATTCAAGCCTGTTTTGCAAAAAAAAATAAATTATATAATGTTACAAATGATAATTGCAAAATAAAGCTGAATGGTTTATTTCATTAAATTTCTACTGAGATTTAATGATTTAAGAGAGGCATTAAATTGCATACTTGAGGAAGTGATCTTGTTGGGTTTGTCATGGTATCAAATAAAACCTTAGGAACCCACTGGTGTTGGAGAACTACCTGAGTTACTTTTGGCAGGGCTAATTCACACTAGAATTCTTCCTCCCTTGGTTGCAGAGCTTCCTGTGAAATCCCTTACCTCCTCCTTGCTGGGGCAACACTTTCTATGTCCCTTGATGTCCCAGTATTCCAAGCAGCTCAGATCACGCTTATTTCCCAGCAACAGGAAAAAATGTACTGACAGCTGCTGCTTTTTTAAATCAATGCAATGGTGACTCTAAATAAAGCCTAAAGATTGAGGTTCGGGAAGTGGGACATAAATTCCCTTTTCCTCATACCCACCTCTCACCAGGTTTCACTAACCAGGAGGCCAGAGGTGAGCTTGCCTGCGTGTGAGGGGCCAGGAGAGGAGCGGTCCCCACCACCTCGGTCACAAGTTCAGACACCTTTCAGGAAGAGAAGTATGGACTTGACCAGAAAGCAAGTGAAAAAGCAGGACTCTCATCTGGTGACCAGGGACTCAGGAAAGCGAGGAGAGCCTTGCATTCTGGACATGGCCTCCAAGCTTACTTTTGCCTTTTCCCATCCAATGGTCATGACCCAATATATAGAACTACTTCTGGGAGGTGGGAGTTCAACTTGTCAGAATTTGCAAGTTGGATGGATGAGTTGGAGGAGTCAGGAACCACTCCTGTAAGCCATGCTGTTGCTAGCCATGTCCTAAGCAGTGTGCATCTATGGGGCCATTGCTACCTTGCTAGAAGTGTTTGGAAATGCAGTTATTACATAGATTCCCTATAGAGAAATCAGATGGCGTGCAGACAAAAACTCCTTTAATGTATGTGTAAAACCCATTTCCTTACAGTGCGTCTGGTCTAACCAGTTCCAGCTAAGGCATTTTTAGGACACTCTGACTGCAGTATTGAAATGTCAGTACTAAAAGAGAATGCAATAGAAATAGATTATTTGTTCTTTTCTCACCACGCAGAAAGTGTTTCATTTATTTCTATTTCAAGGTACCCATGTATTCTGTTTCTAGTTATAAACCCACGTTTTCCAGTCACTTGCATTTTATTTTTAAAGTTATGTGTGGAACATAACTCCACAGGCAGCTGTTCTAATATTGTGGCTATAGGCAGGGTTTAAGGCAAAAATGTTAGCTATAAGATGACCTCTGTATCAGATGTCCAAGCTGGAAGAAGTGGACACAAATAAAAAATGGTGCTGTATTTGGGCCTCAATTCACTAGAGCACTTAGGCACCTGTTTAAGCAAGCAAGTAAATCTGCTTTGTATCCAGCAAACCACTCCAATTTTGGCTTATATCCCACTGACTTGGATTTTTTTTTTGCTCCAGGGCTTCAGATGGTGTAAATTGCTTTAGCAGTGGTTCAGTGGAGCTACGCTGATTTACACCAGATCAGAGACTAGTTCTGTGCGCTGATTTACTGCAACCAATTTGAACCCATTAGACTTATGCCAGCATAAACCTGAAGAAACCCAGTGGTGAAAAAATATTTTACTTATCAGTAGTATTTGGATGAAAGGAAAGAATAATTCTGTCGATGTGCAATGATATCATGAGTGCAAATTAGAAAGCAGAAACTGCTTCCCAGGCTGCTCCCGTACATAGCGTCTCATGGCTTCATGTGGAATTTGACTTGCAGAAATATGTTTGCAGAATACATAGAATAAGACATAACTCTTGACAGTGTAGATGTTCAGAGAGATTTATTATCAGAC